GACGCTCTTCCGATCTCCCCAAAACCCCAAAACCCCTTGACTCTGTTTCTATGTCGTTGATTGAATGAAATAAAATGATCTAATATTTTCTAATAAAATAAGGTACCTAGATTAAATCAACTCCCATTATTTTGGTCTTTTAGGCGACAAACAATTAATTTCATCTAAAATTCAAAAACTTTTACTGACCTTCCCTTTTTCCCTAATGGGTATATTAGGGACGCGGATCTCATTTTTGTTAATCATTTAATATATTAAAGTGAAAAGATAATAAATGCTATCAGTCTCACCCAAGGTCAACGATACCCCAAAACAAATATTTGATAATCATTCATAAAATGATCTTGGAGATTAAGAAAAAAGCTCCAACGCAACCTAACTTTCACTTTAACGCAGAGCGGATGATACTCAAGAAGCTTCCAATTAATCTTAAATGAAGCAATAAAATACTTGGAATGCTTATGAGTTTTCTTCTTCCAGTTCCAATGAAGGATACGAGGCTCGGGAGGAAAATCCTGAAACTTAATCAATGGCCGCCGGTCAAAAGAAGTAATATTCTGTGACTACTGATGACTCCCGTAAACGATTCATAGAACTTTGGAACTCTGGTACTATCACAATAAAACAAGTAAATTTATTTCGCCGTGATAACCCTTTTTCTAGGCAGCCTAAGCTTGCGGTATCAATTATAGTACTGCGAAATCAATTGTGAAGCTCTCTAAAATGGAGGGAAGAATTGAAAAGAAGAAGAAGAGAATCAGCAAGCGCATGCGTAGAGAGAAAGAAGAACTAGAAAATCTCCTACACTCGTCATTAAAGAGACAGAAAGTTGAGCTTCCTAGTTTGGACCAACGAACAAGCGAACCCCCATAATTCTTATAATAGCTAGGTATCCTTCCTACAGGTCAGGATCCAAAGGAAAAATAATTAGTTGAGAAGGCTTGTAGCAATCAATTAGTTGGTTTGACCTCGGACTTTTTGAGCTTCTCTTAGCATATCCAGATGAATTTATCTAGACAAGACACAATAATCCCTAAAAGTATTCTAGAAAATAACTCCTTTTTGTTAGAAAAAGAAGTCTAATTAAACAGTTTGTCTGCGATTGAATTGAGAAACTTATCTCTGAATTAATTATAATAATTTCAAGAGATTGTCAAGCTCAACCAGAATAACTCTATAAGACAGCAAGAATAGAGAAGCTGCCTTGTAGAGAACTGTGAATTGGGTCTGAATAAGAGAAGAAACATATTGTTTGAGGTCTTAATAGAGAAGACATTAGATGAAAAGATAGGATTAGAGAAGAAGGGGTCTAGTTTCCTTCACTCATTATATATTTGACATAATTATAATAGATGATTAGGTATTAATTTTAGAAAGTTTCTCATTAAGAGATTATTTAGTTAATTTTTAAATAACAAATTTAACTTGATACATTCAAATAATTAGTAAAATAATTTCGACATTTTAGTCACAGACATAATTTCCATCTATTCTTTAATCTTAAGATGCAGTAGTATTCTTCATCTAGGGGTTTTGGGGTTTTGGGGTTTTGGGG